ATGCAGAGAGATAAACACATTGGTGCTTCATGTATTTATTAATTGTAGCTACCATCATCTCAGTGGCCATAGATTGTATTAGAACAGAAGATGAATAAGGCTAAGTTCATGATAATCCTTAATGGAGAGGATCAGATTAATCCCATTTCAAACAGGCATCGATCACAGAGATACACAGAATGTTAACTAAAGGGCTACATGAAATATGCCAGAGGACAGTTGATAGTTCTCTGTTCCACTGCACTGACTCAGGAGGCAAGAGCTCGGGGAGGAGGAAGATGGCAAAGGGCAAGGGTGATGCGTCTAAGCAGGCATTTGGGAGATTAAAAATAAAAGAGGGGAGGAATATGAGGAAAGGGGGCAAGGAGTAGCCGCAGGAAGATGAAAAAACATGGAAATTCAGGGCAAAAAAAGAGATCAAGGAAGTGAGAAAATAGAGAAAGAGAACAAAGTGAAAGGGGGACCAAGTAAAAGGAGGAGGAAGAATTAGAGAAAGGGAAGGAGAGGGAAACACAGTCAAGAAAAGATATGGACAGACATTTCTCAAAAGAAAACATGCATACAGCCAACAGATACATGAAAAAATGCTCGTCATCACTGGCCATCAGAGAAATGCAAATCAAAACCACAATGAGATACCATCTCACACCAGTTAGAATGGCATATCTAAAAAGTCAGGAACAACAGGTGCTGGTGGGATGTGGAGAAATAGGAACACTTTACACTGTTGGCTGGGATTGTAACACTAGTTCAACCATTATGGAACACAGTATGGCGGATTCCTCAAGGATCTAGAACTAGAAGTACCATATGATCCAGCCATCCCATTACTGGGTATATACCCAAAGGATTATAAATCATGCTGCTATAAAGACATATGCACACGTATGTTCATTGCGGCAACTATTCAAATAGCAAAGACTTGGAATCAACCCAAATGTCCATCAGTGACAGACTGATTTAAGAAAATGTGGCACATATACACCATGGAATGCAGCATAAAAGGATGAGTTTTTGTGTCCTTCTGTAGGGACATGGATGCAGCTGGAAACCATCATTCTCAGCACAACTATCGCCAAGAAACAGAAAACCAAACACTGCCATGTCTCACTCATAGTGGGAACTGAACAATGAGATCACTTGGGCTTGGGAAAGGGGAACATCACACACCAGGGCTCATTATGGGGAGGGGGGAGGGGAGAGGGATTGCATTGGGAGTTATATCTGATGTAAATGACGAGTTGATGGGTGCTGACGAGGTTGATGGTGCAGCACACCAACATGGCACCAAGTATACATATGTCACAAACCTGCACGTTATGCACATGTACCCTAGAACTTAAAGATAATAATAATAATAAAAGAAAAACTAAAGAAAGATCTGCCTGAACCATAAAAAAAAAACAAAAAAAAAAAAACTGATGAGCGTGGTGGAGCCTGTGATCCCAGCACTTTGGGAGGCTGAGGCAGCGGATAGACCTGAGGTCGGGAGTTCAAGACCAGCCTGACCAATATGGAGGAAACCCCGTCTCTACTAAAAATACAAAAATTAGCCAGGCAATGAGCGTGCCTGTATCACAGCTACTCAGGAGGCTGAGGCAGGAGAATTGCGTTGAACCCGGGAGGTGGAGGGTTGTGGTGAGCCGAGATTGTGCCATGCACTCCAGCCTGGGCAACAAGAGCAAAATCCATCGCTAAAAAAAAAAAAAGAAAAGAAAAGAAAAGAAAAGGAGTAGTTGGGCACAGGAGCCAAGCTAACCAGAGCCAAGGACAGAATGACATGCAAGAGAAGCAGCAGCAGTAAGGCAGGGAGCTTGGTGACATTCACGTCATCCTCTAATTAAATGGGGGCAACTGCTTTTTATGCACCTGTGCCCTTGATTCATAAAACAGCAGCAGCCTGAGAAAGGACTTATTGTGAGGGTGGTGACTCTCAGGAGGCTGGTGGCCATCGCTGCTTACATTTACCGAATATACCCTGCAGATTAGGTGCCCTGGTGTTAGAATACCTGTCTATATGCAAAGTCAAATCGTTAGCATGCATGCGTGTGCACAGGGCCTGGGGGCCCTGTCCAGGCAGTCACTTCAGAGCCATGCTCACTGTACATCCCGGGCCATCTGCAGGGTCTGGAGCACCTTGCACACCCGTGGCTTGCTGTAAGGCAGTGGCATGGCAAATTTGTTCTCGTGGGCTCAGCCGCAGGCCAGCATGGTGGGGCTGGAGTGTCCCCTCACCCTCTCACTAAGATAGCAGTCAAACGGAATGGTGCGTGGATACGTGATGAGAGGAATAGGAGGAGTGCAGAGGAGGTGGAGGGCGTGTACAGAATTGTGATGAACACGGCTGGGGAGAAAAAGGCATTTAGGGGTAAAGCTAGGATAATTATTATTTATAGTCCTCTTGTGATTCCTTGGATGAAGGGTTTAAGGTGCACCTCATAACGATCTAGCTCTGGCTTTCGCCTCTCTCACCATTTGTCTCTATCTTCTGAATGCCCTTCCCATCTTCGGTGTTCGTCCTGGGCGAAAATCCCACTCCTCAGTTCACAACTGATGGGTCTCTTGTGTTCCCACTTTCTTGGTCACAAGTGCCGCTGGGCTTTGAGACCCCTCTTTTCTTGCGCCCGAGTAACACATGCAATCTCACTTTTGGTTTCTTTTTTTTTATTTGAGACTGGAGCACCGCTTCTGTTCCCCAGGTGGAGTGCAGTGGGGCAATCTTGCTCACTGGCAAAGCCTGTGCGCTCCCGGGTCGAAGCACTTCTGCTTCGCCTCCAGCCTCCCGAGTAGCTGAGGACTACAGGTGTGCACCCCATACCGGGAGGCTAATTCTCTTTTTTCTCTTTTTGAGTAGGGGGACAGAGTTCACCGATATTGGGTCAGGGCTGGGTCTCGAACTCCTGACCTCGTGATCCACCTGCCTCGGCCTCCCAAAGTGCTGGGATTACAGGCATGAGCCACTGCACCCAGCCCAATCTCACTTTTATGATGGCATTCAATATATCCCACTTTCCTGATTCTGTGTCTTTCCTCCCGGATCTCCTCTTTTAGTCTGTCTTCCTTCTCCTATGGTGGCTGCAGGTCCACCAGCCTCTTACAGGAAAGCCACATTTCAGTCATCTTTGTATCTCAGTTCCTAGCTCCGTGCCTGGCACATGGTTATGCTGAACCAATTCTTTTTGAACGGATAACAGATCCAATCTTATGTTTTCCTGTCCTTGTCCTCCCATGGTTTGCTCTGTTCATCACAGCTTCTTCCCAGCATATCTCTCTTCCCTCCAAACCTGCTCAAGAGAGCTGGACATATGATTCTCGATCTTTCTCTGTCCCTCTGGCTCTTGTCTTTTTTTTTTTTCTTTTGAGATGGAATCTCGCCCTGTCACCCAGGCTGGAGTGCAATGGCACGATCTCGGCTCACTGCAACCTCCGCCTCCCAAGTTCAAACAATTCTCCTGTCTCAGCCTCCCGAGTAGCTGGGATTACAGGTACATGCCACCACGCCCAGCTAATTTTTGGATTTTCAGTTGAGACAAGGTTTCATCATGTTGGCCAGGCTGATCACAAACTCCTGACCTCAAGTGATCGCCCTGCCTCAGCCTCCCAAAGTGCTGGGATTACAGGGGTGAACCACCACGCCCGGCCTCTTGTCTTAATCTTAAACTCAATCCTGAATTTCTCAAATCCATTTTAGTTTAAGTCTGTATTTCATTTTATTAGGCCCATTACCCTCCCTTCCAAGTCCAGTCAGCAAACACATAGCTGTAAAATGTTGAGAGACCTGTTAAACATATTAAGTTTTGAGAATTGAAACAATCCAAAGAAAAAGAATCATGTCTTCTCACCCTAGTACTTCAACTAAAACTCATATTTATTTTTAAATAATGGAGGGAAAGACATAACTTTGAGCAAAAGTCATGTTTCTTTTGCACAGGGACTCATTCGTTTTGGACTTTGGGGAGCCGCCTTGGAGATTGGGGAGTGGAGGAGGAGAAGTTCAAAGCAGCCAGCTTTGTGGGAATGGTCAGCCTGACCAAGATTTGCTCAGTGTCAGTCTTTCTAGGCAGAGTTTATTTGAAACCAAGTTCAAAAGCTATGGGCAATTTGCAAACCAATTGAATTAGTTCATTGATTCCTTGGGCCTTCTTCCTAAACGAGTCTATGATCAGGATTTCCTAAACTTCTACTAGAACCACTATTATGTGATGATCTATCCCAATAACAACTATTTATTAAAACAATTTCTTCTTCTTCTCCTTCTCCCTCTCCTTCTTCTTCTTCCTCTTTTTTTTTTTTTTTTTTGAGACAGAGTCTCGTTCTGTCCCCCAGGCTGGAGTGCAGTGGTGCAATCTTGGCTCACTGAAACCTCTGCCTTCCGAGTTCAAGCAATTCTCTGCCTCAGGCTCCCGAGTAGCTGGGACTACAGGTGCACACCACCACACCTGGCTATTTTTTTTGAGACGGAGCCTCACTCTGTCACCCAGGCTGGAGTGCAGTGGTGTGATCTTGGCTCACTGCAAGCTCCGCCTCTAGGGTTCAGGCCATTCTCCTGCCTCAGCCTCCCGAGTAGCTGGGACTACAGGCACCCGCCACCATGCCTGGCTAAGTTTTTGTATTTTTAGTAGAGACAGAGTTTCACCATGTTAGCCAGGATGGTCTCGATCTCCTGACCTCGTGATCCGCCCGCCTCGGCCTCCCAAACACACCTTGCTATTTTTTGTGTGTGTGTGTATTTTTTGTAGAGAAGGCATTTTGCCATGTTGGCCTGGCTAGTTTTAAACTCCTGAGCTCAAGCAATCCACCCGTCTCAGCCTCCCAAAGTGCTGGTGGGATTACAGGCGTAAGCCACTGTGCTGGCCAATTGAACCTTTATTACGGATTATTCCAGCTGATGGAGGGTTGGCTATCTGGTTGTGTTGTGCATTTTCCTATTCCACTTTTTGGACCCCTGGACTGCTTCTTTCTGTCTGGGGCTGGGAGCCTGAGGTGAGGAGCACACTCACCTCTACCACGTGCAGTCGTCCCAGGAAGCCATCCAATTGCACAAAGACCAAAGAAGACTGGAAATCCCATTCCTTGACTTCCTGGTTCTCTTTGAAGTAAGTGTGGAGATTCTCCCTTCTGTCCTGAAACTCTTGCTTGAAGAAGCTCAAAGTGTCTGAGACCACTTGCAGTTTTCTCTGACTTTCTTCTATCTCACTTCTCAGCAGGTCTTCTGGGCTGAGATAATGAGAGGCCTGGTATACAAACAGATTAGTATCAATGAGCAGGTGCAGACATCCTGTAACTTTGCAACACCAACTCTGAACTGAATCATTGCCCAAGTAATATTTTTCATGGGGATAAGAGAGGAATCATCTGACCTCGCTCTCCATTCCACATGTGGACTGAGACCTGGGTTTTGGCCAAATAGTCTTAGTGACTGAAGCTACAGTGATGGGCTCAGGAATGGGCAAGTAGCCAGAGACAAGGAAACACAATAAGACTTTGTTGGGCTGGTTGGGGCTGGAGCAGGTGCCCTTTCCCAGGTCTTCTTTTGTGACTTATTGGCTTTCAATAGTAAAGTAATTCGAGTGCAAGAATTATTTGGACCATAATTCTTTTTCTGTCTTGAAGAGGCTTACACCTGGAAAACTGAAAAGCTGGAGCTATAGGGACAGCCACCTTCACCACTACAGGGTGGGTTCCTGTGTCTGGCTGACATCATCTAAGGCCACATTGCAAGTCAGGGCTGAAGCCAGGCTTACCTTAGACTTTCAAGGCACATGAGCCAATATGTTTTCTTCTTTTGCTCTTACTTTTGGTTTGGGTTTTCTAACACTTTCAACGAAAAGAGTTCTGGCTGATAAACATGGAGTAATGGAAAGGCACTAGCCTAGAAGCAGTCAAACAGCCTGGGCTGGGGTCCTGGTTTGGGTGTCTTTGGGCAAGTCAGTTAACCTCCCTGAACTGTAGCCCACATCTTTAAAGAATATAATAAATAATAAGACCTTCCCTGCCCACCTTGCAGGGTTTATCTGATGATTGATGGAAATCATGAAGGTAACAGGATTTTGCAGCCTGCAATGTACCCCACAGACGTTAGTTATTCTTAGTTACTTATTAAGCTTGTTCGTTATTTTCTCAGGGACACAGCCCCTTAGAAGAAAAAGAAACTGGTTTGGAGAGATCACCCAAACCTCCTTAAGCTCTCCAGTTCTTTTTTTTTTTTTTTTCTTTTTTTTGAGATGGAGTCTTGCTCTGTCAATAAGTTGGAGTGCAGTGGCATGATCTCGGCTCAATGCAACCTCCGCCTCCCAGGTTCAAGCGATTCTCCTGCTTCAGCCTCCTAAGTAGCTGGGACTACAGGTGCGTGCCACCACACCCAGCTAATTTTTGTATTTTTAGTAGAGATGGGGTTTCACCGTGTTGGCCAGGATGGTCTCGATCTCTTGAACTCATGATCTGCCCGCCTCGGCCTCCCAAAATGCTGGGATTACAGGCATAAGCCAACGCGCCTGGCTCTCTAGTTCTTTTGAAGTTACACTCCTCAAGGTTTACACTGCCCTGGTTGGTGCTACAAGGGTCCCTAAGAAAAAGGAGCATGAAGTGCATAATCTAAGAAGCTGCTTCTCAATAGCTGATGGGTACCAGGATCTTACCATGTGCAGGGCACATGCATTGTCACATTGAAGCCACAAATCACCCAGCAACCCAAAAAGAGATAAGGTGTTTTGTTTTCACCATTGTACAGAGGAGGAGAGTGAGGCACAGAACAGGAAGTGACTTGTCCTGGCACACAAGTGGTATACTGGCTACCAAGTGGCAAAGTCAGGGATTGTTACAGCATCACCTGATGTCACCTGACATCAGAGGCTGCACGCTTTACTGCTTAGGCTTTGCTGCTGACTCCATTACCAGTCCTTCTTTATAGATCATTAAGGAGGTTGAAATTCACCACCCCTACTTATCTCCTCTTAGGCAGAGGGGAAGGGAAGACAGGACGGCTCAAGTGTTCTAATATTACTGAAAATGTCTTTGTAAGTTATTGGCTTCTGAGAGTAAAATACTGTAATTCAAGTGTAAGAACTCTTTGGAACATAATTATTTCCCCGCCCAGAAAAAAGGACACTTGTCTCTCTCCTGTGACTAGATGCCAACCACCCCCCAGGGAGCAGTTGCTGGGCATCCCCGGGCAGCCCACCTGCTGGATAAGAAGGTTGCAAATCTCCTGGAGCAGCACAGTCAACCTCCCCGGGGAGCGGTAGCACTTGCAGGTGGCCCAAATCAGACAAACCACGTGGAGCAGGGGCCGCAGCCGGGGCTTCACCTCCAGAAATTCTGCATTCTCTAGAGTTTCCAGGTGGTGCTGGAGCGGTATCAGGTGCACATGGATGTCCTGTGCCTCTGCTAAAGCTGGAAGGAATTGGAGATGGTCAACCATTCCCATCTGGAGCCTAATACCCACCTGGTGGAGCCCTAGTCCCTGGGAAGTAAAAGATCTGCAAAGCAACGAGTACAATTTCTCCCTGAACTGAGAAAGCAGAGAGAAGGCTGGTTCCAGAAAACTTCCTAGCTCTTATGAGGAAATATGGAAACTAGAGAGCCCTGAACAACTAGGATAATGATCCGAAGAGTTCTCTCTTGTAAAATTCCTCTAAATGGACTTCTCCTTGGCCCTCCCAGCCTCCATCTGGTGCTTGGTAGGTAGTAAATATTTGCCAATTACTCTGCTGCTATCTTTGAGACGATACAAGTTTTAGAATCAGAAAGACTTTCCTTCAAATGCTGGCCTAGACACTTGGCAATGGTATGACTTTGGGCACGTTTTAACCTCCCTGAGCCTCAAAAATAGGCCGAGCTGTAATCAGTTTAAAGAGTCCTTGTGAAGGCTGAAGGCAGTTCAACAGGAATCTTTATAAACAACTAGCACAGTGCTTGGACCAATGCAGGTGTTTTGATAAATGGTGGTGGCTCTGATGAATATTCACTAATAAAGAGTCTTATTATTAATAATAATAATAATAAAAAGTCAGAGAGCATAGAGACCTAACATAAATGGGTTATGGCAAGGTTCTGCTGGTTTTCAAAGCCAGGAAAATCTCTTACCATCTCCTCTGAATACAACCAAGGAAAGAAAGGGGCATCTAACCAGTCGTCTTGTGGTGATTGACAGGGGAAACTAGGAAATCCAGCAGCACTGGATGCTAATATCTGCATAGCAACTTAGAGGGAATGCAAAAGGTCACTGGACAAACTAAGCTGGAAGGGCGAGTTTATAAAGGCTAGTTCTGTCCTGGGCAGATAATCAGGTGGTATCATATGAGAGTAGGTGGTCTTAGGTGATAGTATGTGGATGAAGCTCTGCATTCATCCTAAAGGAAACTCGAAATATACACTATTTAGCAAGCAGTTTCAATATGCCGGGAATTGTTCCACTTCCTGTCTATGAGATATTTACCATCTCACAGAAAGCCCTGCAAGCCAGTTTTAGTACTTTAGTACTTTATAAGTGAAGAAATTAAGGTCTAAATAACTTTCCCAGGGCCCTCCCACGAAACAAACAATCCCATCCAGCTGAGGAAAAGGAAGACGACTCACAGTTTATTACATTGAACCCTCGGCTTCATGGAGGCTCACCATACACAAAAATATGTTGATGTGTATGTTTGTACTTTACAACCCCAATGAGGCTGTGGAAAGCAGTATGTGAATCAAATTTTTGCAAAGTCAAATGTCACAGTAAATTGATTAGGGCAGGGATTTTCAAGAGGAGGAGCTGATGGTGAATATTAGAACTGCTGTATTGGGGTGGGGGATTTCAGAATCCAACAGTCATTCTAATGAGCGCCTGCTCTTGCTTCCGTAAGTGCTGAGAGAAAAGAGGCTGAGACTGTCATGCTATAGGAGCTTTCTCTTTATGATACCCTGTTTTGAAATCTTTTCAAAAATCACAGTCTCTTTTAATTATACCAATTAGCACTGCCTTGATTTTTAAGAGCACAATACTTGAGAAAAGGGTTGACCATCCTACCCAGGATGCAATATCCTTGGATGACAAGGCATGTGAAGAGTGAGAGAGCGAGCTGGGCTCATATCTTTTTTTTTTTTTTTTTTTGAGATGGAGTCTCACTCTGTCACCCAGGCTGGAGTGCAGTGGCACAATCTTGGCTCACTGCAACCTCCACCTCCTGGGTTTAGTCTATTCTCCTGCTTCAGCCTCACCAGTAGCTGGGATTACAGGCATGCACCACCACGCCCAGCTAATTTTGTATTTTTAGTAGAGACGGGGTTTCACCGTGTCACCCAGGCTGGAGTGCAGTGGCACAATCTTGGCTCACTGCAACCTCCACCTCCTGGGTTTAGTTTATTCTCCTGCTTCAGCCTCCCCAGTAGCTGGGATTACAGGCATGCACCACCACGCCCAGCTAATTTTGTATTTTTAGTAGAGACGGGGTTTCACTGTGTTGGCCAGGCTGGTCTCGAACTCCTGACCTCAAGTGATCTGCCTGCCTCAGCCTCCCAAAGTGCTGGGATTGCAGGCATGAGTCACTGTGCCCAGCTGGGCTCATATCTTTTTAAAGAATGTAAATATAAATAGCAAAGTGCATAGTGATCTCCAGTGGTTGGCTGTAAAGTCTTTAACAACAGACTCTTTGAGGAAAAACATGTTTATTTGTAGCATATGCCAATTTCTATGGTGTAAATATTCCCAGTATTCCTACCATGTCCATTTCTAGGTTACCAATTTGACTTCGCTGAGTGCTGCTTGGGAGAATGGGGGTGCAAGGGTTAAAACAATGCATACAGCAGCCCTTCATGAGCCACAGCAAACCAGTGTGCACTGGCTCCAGCCAGCCCTTCTTTGTGTGCCTTCCTTTGCACACATATCCACCTACACACATCCTTAATTGCTGCTGTGTGAATGGGACCCCTCCAAAATTCAGGTGTTGAAATTTCATGGCCAATGTGACGGTGTTAAGAGTTGGTACCTTTAAGAGGTCATTAGGCCATGAGAGCTTCTCCCTCATGAATGGGATTAAGGCCCTTATCAAAGAGGCTTCACATAGAGTTGGGCTGGCTTGCCCTTCCACCATCTGTCAGGTGAGGACACAGAGTTCCTCTCCTCTGGAGGATGTGGCACCAAGGCGCCATCTTGGAAGCAGAGAACAGGCCCTCACCGGACACCTAACCTGCCAGCGCCTTGATCTCGAACTTCTGAGCCTCAAGAACTGTGAGAAATAAATTTCTGCTCTTTATAAATTACCCAGGCTGTGGTATTCTGTTAGAGCAGCACAGATGGACATAGAAACTTGGCAACCAGGCTGGGCGCGGTGGCTCACGCCTGTAAACCCAACACTTTGGGAGGCCAAAGTGGGCGGATCACGAGGTCAGGAGATCAAGACCTTCCTGGCTAACACGGTGAAACCCTGTCTCTACTAAAAATAAAAAAAATTAGCCGGGCCTGGTGGCAGGCACCTGTGGTCCCAGCTACACGGGAGGCTGAGGCAGGAGAATGGCGTGAACCCGGGAGGCAGAGTTTGCAGTGAGCCGAGATCACACCACTGCACTCCAGCTTGACAACAGAGCAAGACTCTGTCTAAAAAAAATAAAGTTAAATGGTAATAGCCCTGGTTTTGGCAAATGATACCGGCTTTCCATTTATGGCAGTGATTTAAAGTTTTCATGTTGTCTAGTTAGGTTAAATTGGGAGTCAATGTAGAGAAAAATATTAAGCAATACAGTGCTACAGATTGTACATATGTACAGCACATATAAAGGAGATACGTGAATGCCTAAAAATTGACTATGTGAAATGACAAAGACCTTTAAAAGCACATTTTGACCTGTGACACTGAAGAGCAAAGAGGAGATTTCATAGGAAAAAGGGAGAAGATGCATAGTGCCCCAAAGGAAGGGAGAGAGAGTCCTGAAAAAATTTACCTACTTCTAATCATAGACTTTGCTGGCTTGGCAATTTTGATAAGAGTGGATCTTGCCTGGTGCTCAAATGGCCAGAAAAATTGCAGTCCCATCTGACGGTAGGAACAGAAAATGCAGAATGGAGCCAGAAATGGAATAGAGATTTTTCAAGGAGCTGAAGGTGGAGGGACCTGAATTCCAGAGGTGAGAGATAACAACACGCATTTGTACAGTGCAAAGCAGCAGCTGTAGGTAGGTCTGATGGAAGAACTTTCTTCTAGTAGTCTCCAGACCCTGAAGACAGTGCCCAGAGAGACCACTGACCAGACCCAGGAGTTCCCAGTGTGCCAGGCAGGTACAAGCACTTAGTTAATGAGGGGTTCCAGCCAATAATCCCAGGTCCTGGAAGGCATGGTCAGGCTGTCTTGCAAGGGTAGTCCTTGATTAGGACAGATGGACTTCCATGACCACACTGGAGTTAATCACACAGGCTCCATAATGGCCATCCCAGAACTGTATGTCCTGTGGTCCCAGTGTTTGAAAGACACGAAGGGGCAGCTCCAGGAACACTGCCGTGTTCAGTCAATAAGTTCTTCCACCTGTATAATCTCACATGGATGGACCTCGAAAAGTGGGTAGAAGTGTATGCTCCATAACCATCACACGTACTAAAGCTCAGAGGAGCTAGGTGAATTTGCCCAAGGCCCTACAGCAGTGGAACTGCAAACAGCATAGCTCTGTTTAGCTGCTCTCCTGTATCTAGATGTGGTGTTCTTGTCACCATGCTAGTTTGTGTCGGGTTGGAAGTTTATAAGGACTTAAAGTTGCTGAATTCAGACAGAGAGAGGTGAATGCATCATTCAACAGTAAATCTGAGTCAAACACATTTGTGAAAACACTTGCTGGTCCTCACCTGCAACAACATCTCTGTACATGGCTTTGAAAGCTGGAAAGTAGCTACTCTGAAGCTTGTCCAGGAGCTTGGCCATGCCCCTCACCTTTATTGTTCTCAGTTGATTATAAATGTATTGCAGATCTTCATACCTGCAATATCAGGAAGAAGGGTGAATCCAGGTAAGCATCAGGAAATGCCAGTCACACTGTAACGGCCCATTGTCACACAGAAAGAGAGGAGCCCTGCCTCAGGGTGCTTCCACAGAGGCTGTGCTCCAGCCCAAACAGCCTGGACATCTGTTCCCAGCACAGTGAGGGCAAAAGCCTGAGCTGGGAACATGGGTTAAAGGGGGCAGCTCCAGGAAACACTGCTGTGACCATCTGGTGGCTCAAAAAGCTTGGCAGCTGGAGGTCATTAGCTCTGGCAGTAAGGTTGAGTCAGGGTGAGAGAGGCGTTATTGGAGCAAGGGTGCTAAGAGAAGGGCCTTGCAGTAGGTCAGCAGAATGATCAGAAGCCAGGCAAGAGCATGGAGCATCTCAGCAGGGTGGTACAGACAAAAGGCTGGAGCCCTACAGGCATGTCTGGTCATGTGACACCGATAATCTCCATTCCATGTGAGGACAGACACATCTGCCTCTAATATCTGTCTGTCTCCTTTTGAGTAAAGGATTTATCAGCACAATAATAAATAGGAGTGAAGACATAGGGAGGAGGAGGCAGAATAAGCAAGAGCAGGAGCAATAATGAAGCCTTTCTGGACAAACATCCTGGATGATGAACTTTCCAGCCCTACGAGTGATGAGCCGGGGCACAGGAAAGGCAACTGCAGCCAACTCCCCCAAACCCCTCCGTCTTCAGAACTTTACAAAACGTGTGTGCATGTGGCCTCAACTGTTCAAGGAGAAGGGAGCAGACAACTTAGAAGAAAAATGTTAGAGAGAGTTGATTAATTTTACATGTAGTCCAAAGAGCCTTTGAAAAAATGTGAGAAGACATACTGATGTTAGCCCAGGAAAGGGAAAATGACTATTGAATCTGGGGGAAAGTGTGCATCTCCCAGTCTATCAAAAAACTCTGTTGACCCAATGACACAGAGCTGTCTCCCTCAGTGATGACGTGAAATACCTACAGGGAAGGACAGGCTCAATGGTGGCTTAACCCAGGCAAGCTCTAGCTTTAGTCTCTGTAAGACATTTTCACCCCAGAGTTCCAGCATGTGCCTTCCTGCCTACCTGCTCTTCCAGAATTCCAACTCCACCTTAGGGGTGGGATTCTCCCCTTGTAAGAGTGGCTGGGAAGATTCTCTCTTCAGTACCACCTGGACTTGGTAGCTCCATTTGATCACTGCAGACTCAATGGCATAGATGACTGACTTATCTATAGAATCCAAGCTGTGAAAGACAAAACAACAACAACAACAATAACAACAAAAACCCTGAAACGTGAAAATAACCCTGGGTGTACCCCAAAACAGAATCCCAAATGTGAAAAAAAAAAAAGGTGAGAAATTTCATCTAGCCCATGCATTCTTAACTTTTATGGATAATAGTCTCTGTTGACTGGTCAATGAAAAGTACAGACCCTCACTCCAGAAAAAAAAAAAAAAAGCTTGTGTGTGTGTATATACATTTTTTCACACAGATTCAGGGCTCATCAGTATTCTGAAGACCAGCTTAAGAACTTTGAATGCCAGTACATTGTCCTGCGAATGAAGGAATACCTTGGACAGAAAACATTCAGATGACCACCCAATGCTTGCTTGAATCCTACCAGTGACAGCAAGCTCTCAACTTCACAAAGCAGCACATTTCTCAGTAGGTTGGCTCTACCAAAGAGAACGTTTGTCTCTATACTGAACCATAGGTACCTCCCTGTGATTTCCTCATCTTGGTCTTAGCTCTGACCTCTGCAGCAAGAGGAAATAGGTTATTTCCTCCTTCACAAAGCTGACAATCAGCCACCTGAATACCACCATCATGATTTCACTTGGTCGTCATTTTTCCAGTGAAGAATAGAATTCCTGAACTTTCCGCCTCATACAACTTCTAAAGAAAGTAACTTAGCTATATTTGGAAGTGGTTAACTTTTTAAAAATACATTTTGGTCATTATTTTCACAGTCTTAACTGAAAATGATACGTGCAAAGAACCAAGGACACAATGACAAAGAAAGAGGACATACAGTTCACATTTTTAGGTCAGAAACCCACTTCCACTTAATTAAATTAAATTTATATTAGCTGAGAAATGATATGGCACAAGTGATTGTGGAAGGTATTAAAGGAAACAGACACCCACTTCCCCTAAAATGATCCAGCCTTTTGGGAAATTATCAAACTTGAACAAACCGAGATAAATTCAGCAATGATTATAAACACACACTGAATGCTAGTAAGTTAAAATATAAAGGGACTAGAAAAGGGGTAGTTGGAATTTATTTATTTTGAAGATTGGATGTCTTTATTAAACCACAATAAGTTTTCCAGTTAACCGGGAAATTACTTCAAATTGCATATGTAGGAAATTACTTCCGATAGAAAAAACTCATTATAAAGTACATTGTTGTATTTTATAATGCATTGCATGCATTACTGTTGCATGCATTACTTATTCTTCGGATCAAATAATGGATCCTGAGTACACAATGTTGACAGTAATACATTGGGAAACTCCTGACAGTGTGGTAGACCGAGCTCATGTAGGAAGGCTATCTGTTGCCACAAGTACATAGAGATGCTGAATAAAATATAACAAAATATACTATTAATATTTATATATGCAGCCCGGCTTGAAAAGGGAAGAGAATTCCCAAGGGATAGAAACGAAGAGAACTCGAAAGTCAGCATGGTAAACAGAAGCTGATGGTGGATTTAACTTCTAAAAGGAGACGAAGCTGGGGTTTTAATGCCCACTCAGGGGCAGGAGGCATGAATTCCCAACAAAGCCAGGTCCCAACAAAGCCAGATTTGTTACTACTTGAAAAAAGACAAAAAAAATTCCTCAGGACGTGTAAAGTCTTCAGCTGCTGGGGGAGGAGGGTCTGGAACTGTAACAAGAGTCAGCAGCGTTAGTTCTGTGACATTATGCACTGAGTAAACACTGGGAAGAGTAAATGCTAGAAAGTTTCAGCTTTGCTGAAAGATTCTGTGTGTGCCTGCCTCCCAGACTGGACCTGGGTCTTTGCCAATGATGAGACACTATCTTGATAAGCAAAATGCCGAAAGTTAGCGTGGTTGCGCTCAGCCCTGAAATGATTCTGAACGGAAAAAAAGGCCATGTTGCTGTAATAGCCTTGGAAGACTTCATGCGGTGGCTGGGCCAGGGAGTAACCAGGGTAAACACACAGTCCACAGTCTGAGGGTGTCGGCAAACAGAGCAGGCAGTAGGCTTGTGTGCAGAACGAGGAGATGTGCAGAGTCAGGAACAGACAAGTTGTAAGGAAAACATTCTGATAACCAGCATCTCCCGTATCTCAGAGGCCCATATGGCCAGACTGGCAGTACTTACACTGTCTCACTTTTGGAATCCACAAACTCCATTTTTTCTGAGCCTGCTGGAAGAGGCAGCAAAGTTCTTCCCTTCACTTGCTCAAGTATAACCGAGAGGTCACATTGGAGGCTGTGGGCGTGCCGCCTGACATCCTCACATACCATGTGGGGCCAGTTGAGGCGATTCTTCTCATTGGCCAGGACGGGTAGAACAACCTGGAACAGAGGTGCACAGGAAAGAAAGGCAGGCGTTCCACTTCTGAGAACTTAAAGCAAGCCTCATCTGGAAAAGGCTTATAAAGCTATATACAACCTTTTGCAGGTCACTCACTGTGCTGGATGGCCTAATAGTAGGGTCGAACATTATATATGACCTTGACATCTGATAAATTGGGGAGGCCCTTGAATAGTCTGCTTACAAATTTTCCTCCCATTCTCCTGGGGATAAAGTCCTCTAGCCAAAAAACTCTTTATCGGCTAGGCACGGTGGCTAATGCCTGTAATCCTAGCACTTTGGGAGGCTGAGGCGGGTGGATCACCTGAGGTTGGAAGTTCAAGACCAGCCTGGCCAACATGACGAAAACCCATTTCTACTGAAAGTACAAAAATTAGCCAGGCATGGTAGCGGGCACCTGTAATCACAGCTACTCAGGGGGTTGAGGCAGGAGAATCGCTTCAACCCAGGAGGTGGTGGTTGCAGTGAGTCAAGATCACACCACTGCACTCCAGCCTGGGTGACAGAGTGAGACTCCATCTCAGAAAAAAATTAAAAAGAAAAAACAAAAAACTCTTTATCCAGAGGACCAGGCACAGTTCCCGCTTATCCCTGAGAAGCAGACTTCAGTTCCCTGCCAGCTGGTGGAGGGATTTAAACCAGCAAATTGCATCCCCCAATGAGATCCAGGGACCACTACACCCTCTTGATCCTATTAATACAAAGTGTGCTTTCCACCGCCCCTTGTCGTTCAGCCTGTTCCCAAGAGCAATCCCGGTGTGGCTCTGCATGGCTCAGTGTCCTCCGCTGAGCTGTGAGTATATTGACTGATAAACTGCTGTCAATGGTGTCTGTCCTATGTCGGGTGTTGTATGGTTAGCCACCTCCATTACTCTTGGGCAGGAATCCCTCCCTCATCAATGGGGTGAATAGGAGGTGATTAAAATAGTCACAAAGGCCAGAGGCAAAAAAGTAGGACACATGCAGATAAACATGACCTTCTGTCTGCAGGTGGTAGGAGGGACAGCTTGAAAAGGCAAGCAAAGTTGACGATCTTGAATCCATCTTCAGGGTGAACGTTAGGTGGTTCTGGCCACCCAACACAGTTCCTTTGTTCAGTATTCATCCCCAAATCCATAGGAACCAAATGGAACCAAATCTGAGCCAGTGAGAGTCAGGCCAAAGTGTCTTATGTGACTTTTCACGGAAGAGATACCTTCTCTTTTCTGCTAGTGTAGAGCTTTTGTTGGTCACCTTCCCAACCAATACAGCCTTAGAATAAAGTTAATATGGAGAAGAGAGTGCTTACAGATGGAGAAAGACTGTGTCTCGGTAACTTTGTTTGAGCTCCTAAATCAAGCTGCTCTTGAACTTTCCAAGCTAGTTTAAATTAAGTTTCTATTACCAGTAACTTCGAATGTCAGTACACCGAGGCGGGCGGATCACGAGGTCAGGACATCAAGACCATCCTGGCCAACATGGTGAAACCTTGTCTCCACTAAAATACAACAAATTAGTCGGGTATGGTGGCATGCGCCTGTAGTCCCAGCTACTCAGGAGGCTAAGGCAGGGGAATAGCTTGAACCCGGGAGGCGGAGATCACAGTGAGCCGAGACTGCACCATTGCACTCTAGCCTGGAGACAGAGCAAGACTCTGTCTCAAAAAAAAAAAAAAAAAAAAAAAAAAGTTGTCAGTACAACTCACCAGGAATCTTTGACTGTCAAAATCTCACAACTGATGGAAGGAGAATACCAGAAAGACAAACAGATGCTCATATAATGTGTTGAGAAAGCTACCAATACATAAATAATCAAAAGGAAATATGAACTCATATGACTCATGATCAATAAGCCCCAGTGGCTGTGAAATAGAATACCTGGACCCAGCATGTTAGATTCTAGAGGATGGTCTTTGCCTGGTCTGTCTGGAAACATTCACTGAACTGGGAACTTACAACAATCAGTAAAGGGAGCTCAAAAAGGAAGGAAAGTTTACAAATTAAGCTTCATCACATTCGTGTTAAGAAAGAACCATTTGGACCCAGGGCAGAAGTCCTAACTGGGAAACAGGATGAACTGGAATTTTCCTAGGATCTCAAAGGCAGGGACTCTACCTTATTTAATTTTTATATAGTCACAGTTCTCTCTAGGATCTGGCATATAGAAAGCACTCAAGATGTTTATCAAATAACTGAATGTATACTATCTGAAGAAAAAGGAATAGTTGTGGGTGGGATTTTTAAGGGCTTTGAGTGACAGAAAAATAATGAATGTGAACTCTCTATGAAGTGAAAAGCAACTCATAGCCAGGCGCGGTGGCTCACGCCTGTATCCCAGCACTTTGAGAGGCTGAGGAGGGCAGATTGTTTGAGCCCAGGAGTCAGAAACCAGACTGGGCAACATAGCAAGACCTCATCTCCACAAAAAAATAGAAAAATTGCCTGGTTGTAGTGGTGCATGTCTGTAGTCTCAGTTACTAAGGAGGCTGAGGTGAGAGGATTGCTTGAGGCCAGGGAGGTTGAGGCTGCAGTGAGCTGAAATCACGCCACTGTACTCCAGCCTGGGCAACAGAGTGAGACCCTGTCTCAAAACAACAACAACAACAACAAACCAAAAAACTACTCATTCATTTATTCAATGAGTATTTACTGAGCATCTACTATGTGCTGGTACTTTTCTAGGTGCTAGGAGGATACACTCATGAACAAAACAGTCAAACATTTCTGACCTCATGAAGCTTATATTCTAAGGGACAGACAGTCAAGAAACAGTAAGTTCTGTGAATAAAGATAAAGCATGTGAAGGAAATCAGGAGTGTGGGTTGGAGGGGCTGCAATTATAAATGTTGAGGTTGGCCTCACTGAGAAGATAAGATTTAAACAAAGGCTTGGAAGGATAGGGGTACAGCTTTGCCTATCCTTGGGGGAAGAAGTATATTGCAGGGAGAAGGAACAGCCAGTGCAAAGTCCCCGAGATGGAAGCATGCTTGGTGTGATCAAGGAGCAGTGTGGAAGCAAGGGAAATGGGGACAGAGTGATCCCAAAGACGAATAGGGGTGAGTAAAGGGAGTCAATTCACATGAAGCCTTGCCTGTGAGATTTTGATTTTTACTCTCAGAGAAATGGACATCATTGAAAGTTTTGAGCAAAGGAGTGCCATAGGCTGAGATTGCTTTGAGTAGGATCAACCAAACTGCTGTGATAATAGGCTATAAGGGGCAAAGGTGGAAAAGGAGGCCACCTAGCAAGTTGGTGCTATAATACGGAAGACAGTGGTGTGGCACTGGGGGTAGTGGTAGAGATGGTAAGAAATGGCCTGATTCCATACAAATTTTGAAGGTATAGCCAATAGGATGTCTTAACAAATTGCTTTAGGAGTCATGAGAGAAAAAAAAAGGATCCGGATGACTTTAAGATTTGTGGCTTGAACAATGGGAAGAATGGAGTTGCTGTCAACTGATGTGGGGAGGAGTAAAGGTGGAGTAAGATCTTGAGAGAAGATCAGGAGCTTGTGTTTGCACATGTTAAAATGTAATATCTCGATTGGACTTTAAGATAGAGATGTTGAGTAGGCAGCTGGATATGCTAGTTGAGAGTTCAGAGGAGAAGAGAGGGCTGGAGATAACAAATTTGGGAGGTATAAGATACAAATGGCTTATGGAACTTTGAAATTGAATGACAGCCCCCGAGAAAATGGGTGTATATAGACAGAAGAGAAGACGTCCAGGGAATGAGCTGTAGGGCCTTCTGGTGTTAAGAAGTTGGGAAGAGGACGGGCGCAGTTGCTCACCCCTATAATCCCAACACTTGGTGAGGCCAAGATGGGTGGATCATGAGGTCAGGAGTTTGAGACCAGCCTGGCCAACAGAGTGAAACCCTGTCTCTACTAAAAATACAAAAATTAGTTGGGCGTGGTAGCGGGTGCCTGTAATCCTAGCTACTCGGGAGGCTGAGGCAGGAGAATCGCTTGAACCCAGGAGGCAGCGAGCAGAGATCACGCCACTGCACTCCAGCCTGGGTGACAGTGTGAGACTCCAACTCAAAAAAAGAAAAAAAGAAGAAGTGGGGAAGAAGAGGAGGCACCATCACTGGTGATAGCCACGGTGATAGGAGGAAACCAGAACACCAGTGTCCTGGAGCCCAAAGAAGAAAGTGCTTCCAGGAAGAAAGGATGATCGTGAGCTATGAGAAACGCGGCTCTCAGGTCAAGCCGAATGAGGACTGATTCAGGGTCATTCAATTTCGTCAAGTGGAGATCATCGGAAACATTGACACGTTATTTTATTCCTCTTCTGTGAAGTGTGAAAACCAAAGTCTGATGAGTGAGGATGAGATAAAACAGGAAAATAAGGAGACACCAAGAGGAGACACACATTCCAGGAATTTTGCTATGAAGGGGGTCATAAACATGGGGTGACAGCTGGTGGGATGAAAGGAGCATTTTGCTTGATGAGAATAATCTAGCAGAGAGGAGAAAAAAATAGGAATGCAGGAGAGAAGAGGAAATTGCTAGAACGATCTCCTCAGGAATGTGTGGGATTCAGAGCACAGGCAGCGGTTTCAGCCTTAGGGTTGGCATCAGAGGGCAGCACAAACAGTTCACCTCTAGTAATGGACAGGATGGCAGAAGATACAAGGAAAGATGCTGCAGTCAACATAGACATAAGGGTTCGTGGACATGGTATTCTCATTTCCGTTTCTTAAAAAACCAAGAAAGAAGCAAGAGCATCTCAGAGTGAGGTTGAGAGGAGGTTTTGGACATTTGAGAGAAGAAAGATTTTTCTTTTCAAATTGTTCCTCAGGTTGGGAAATAGTGATCTAAAAGAGCAAGAAAATATAGTTGGAATAGAAACAAAAATATAGAATGTCTGCTGGGAAACATAAAAGGTCTACTTAGGGGTTCGAGGTCGTACATTTAAAGAGGAGCCCATTGGTTTTTTCTCTGGTCTGTTTTAATTTAATGGGTGCAGGTACGAAGTATGTAGAGCTGGGTTTTACCAGGACTGTGGTTGCACCAATTGAGTATGACACAGTGAGGTAGAGGCCAGTACATCAGGAGCTGATGCAAGCATATGAAGATCATGAAGGAGCATGGTACTCAAATTGGGTAAGAGAAGAGGCCGTGGGCATGGGCCAGGGCCAATGGGAAGGAGCCAAGGCCAAGAGATTGGAGCTCCCAGCAGGATCAAAGGACTGTTGTAGTCAGGGTATGAGAGGGAGTGAGCTGGAAAGATGGGAGTAATGGTCAGAGAAGGAGGTGCATACAATTGGATAATGAGGTTGGTGGTTGTTGGGAATGCAAGGTCTGGAAATGGCCATGGGAGGTGCTGCTTATGATCAGGAGGAGGACAAGATCACTGGAGGACAAAGATAGAGAGAACCCAGAGGCCAAGTGATTGGATCACTCATATGTCTTTGGAAATAACCACCTATTAGAAGTAATGTTGGGGAGAGTCACAGTGAGTTGAGAGGCAAAATCATACACACGCGACGGTAGCACCATCTCTACAGGATGCAGCAGTGCGAGTGAGTCATGTCCTTTGATGACAGGAGATTGAAATTGGAGGCTTTTTGATGTGGATCTACAGCGGCAAGGAGGAACAAGGAGCCACCTGCTCCAGCTCCATGCTCAGAAGGAGAAAGGCTGTGGGGGAAATGCAGCTGCGTCCTCCAGGAGGAGCCAGGATGGGTTACAGCAAAGTGACAAGGATCCATCAGATGGGTGAGGAGGATTTTAAACGGGATGGAGAGTGATAAGAATTCTCATCCTTTATGGAACACCTGCAATGTGACACTCTATTCCAGGTGTTCTAATATATGATGTCTAAATTTCATAGCAACCCTGCAAGACAGTTTTGGACCTGGCAGAGTGAGCACATCTGCTCACATCACACTGCTGAATTTAACCAGAATTTGACTTAGGTCTGTGAGATTCCAAATCTTATGCTCACACTCCAAAATGCAAAAAGTCAAAAAAAAAAAAAAAATCCAAGTTTCAGAGCTAGGAAAAATAAGTTGGCAGTAGTGAATGATGTGGTTGGAGGAGGAAGTAAGGAAGTAGGAGAACAAGTTACTAAATTCTGTTAATTCTTCCCTTCAAACATTTCTTAGGCACATTTTCCTTTTTTACCTTGTACTAGTAGAATGGAATAAAAATAATATGAAAATTATAGCTTTCTCTCAGCCAACACCCTCAATCCTACCCCCTACACACAAGGCAGGAAAACGTCTCTCAGTCAGGTAGGATGCTGCCTGGGGAGGTGGAAGGAAAAGGGGAGCAGGTAATCAGAGACTACTAAGCTGATTACAAGGTGCTGAGAGAGAGGAGAGGGGGTGGACAGGAGGTCCGGGCCGGAAGGAGAGGGCTTAGCAGATGGGAGGCCAGCAAGCCTTGAAAGAGACACTGGATCAACTTCAGGGTATGGAATAAAAGTAGATGGATGGACAGAAAGTGGAATAAAGTTACTGGTACGAGCTTTGAGAAATGCAAGGAAAGGACTTGAGGTATTTTAAAAATAAATTATTTAGGTTTTAAAATAGGTAATACATTTACATGGTGCAAAATTTTAAAAGTACAAAAGCGTTCACAGTGGGAAGTAAATCTTCCACCTACCCCGTACTTCAATTACTGTTTCTCCTTCTTGTGGATTACTGTTAAAGAATGTCCTCTCTTCCTCCTTCCCTCCCTTTCCTCCTTCCTTTCTCTCTTCTTCCCCTTCTTTCTTTTTTAAATATAAACAGTAGCATAAAATCCATGCAATTCTGCACTTCTTTAAAAAATTATCTTAAATTGCAGCATTATTCACAAAAACCAAGAGACAGAAACAACCTAAGTATCTATGATGGATACATTTTTTAGAAATGTGGTATATACATACAATAGAATATTGTTAAAAAAGAAAGAAATCCCGCATAGGATAGGCGGCGACAATATGGATGAACCTTGAGGACATTATTCTAAGTGACATAAGCTAGTCACAAGGAACAAATACTGCATGATTTCACTGATATGATGACTCAGGTTCATAGGAACAGAAAGCAGAATGGTGCTTGCCACAAGCTCAGGGGAGCGGTGTGTGGGTTGTTGGGTGTGTGTGGAGTTTCAGTGATGCTGGATGGGGCAGTTCTGAGGATCTGTTGCACAAAAATGCATATGTGGTTGACAATATTGTACTCTAACTTGGAAATTGTTGGGTGAATTTTATGTCACGTGCTTTTTTGCCACAAGGAAAAAATTACCCTAAGGAATACTCCAGTTGGACATGGTAGCGCACACCTGTAACCCCAGCACTTTGGGAGGCCAAGGCAAGAGGATCACTTGAGTCTAGGAGTTTGAAACCAGTCTGGTCAACATAGCAAGACCCTGCCTCAAAAACAGGAATATTCCATATCAGTCATTCCTTTTAATAGTTGCAAAGTATTTCACTGTATAGATGGCCCATAATTCAGTCACCCAGTCCCCTGTTGATGAACATTGTCTCCAATTTCTTTCAACGCACCAGTGAAAATTCTTAGACATCTGAGAATTTTCATTATTTCAAGATTATGTTTACTTGCTGGACTACTTTGCTTAGCCATGACACAACTCTGAGACGGGCCTTCTGTCTCCCACATACACTAGGTTAAATCCTGTCTCTGAACCTTTGTGCAGTCTGCTCTCAGTATCTTGAAAGTTAGTTACCTTGCTCTCTACTTATCTGAATTCTTCTAATTGTTCAGGAGACAGCATGGGCTGTCTTTCTCCTCTGAAGCCAAAAGTACTTTCCATCATCAACATTCATTAGAGAAGTTGATCTAAGTTCAGGCTTCAGCGGGATGGCTTTCAGACAATGCACAGTGGCAAGACGGCTCTGTTTGTTAAAATACTGAAATACCTCCATATCTATTGACAGATCTAGCTTCCCTGGGCCCTCTGTGTCCTCCTCTACCTATCCAACACCTTCTCCGGAATTTTCACCTCCCCACAGCCTCCTGATACACCATCCAAAGGGCTTACACCTGACACAGCTGGGAGACTCCAGCACTTGGATCCAGCAGTGGGGCCAACTTTTAGGTAAGCCTTACCCTCACCCCAGTCTTAAAAGTTTGAAAAATTTTGAATATATGATTTATTACATATGTTTCAGCTCCTTGGAGTAAGCATTTCATGGGTGGGAATAGTTCTTTGATATTCCCTATAGCACCTATCACCTGAAACATCATACAGCCAGTATTCCGGCCATCCTTATTTCACAACCTGCAGGGTCCAGGGCATCAAGTCTCCAGAAGCACACAGGCCTGACTTGCAGGGCAATTTACTCCCATTCCAGAAAGGTCTAAGGGTCCCAGAAATCTCTCCGGAGCACCTTCCTGAAATCTACATTCTCTAAGCTTCTGCTATGGTGCCACTAAAGCACTCATGACCCACATCTCCACCTTCCTCCCTGAGCTCCAGGCAGACTCCTCCAAAGGCCTGCTGGGCATTTCCAAATGGGCGCCCAACTTCTTATGCTGGCACAGGGCTGACCTTTGCTAAACGGTTGGTAATGAATGAATGAGATGAAAATCAAAAGCAAATCACTACCCCCCGCCACCCCATTGAACTGCTCTCCAGAAGTAGGCACTGTTTATAGCCATTCACCTCTTTCCACCCCACTGATCCATCAGAAATGCCTCCTTGTTCTCCACTTCCCATCTTCCTCAGACCTTTCCAATTTACAGGACGGATTAAGAGATGCTGATTTTGAAAGCAGTCAGGACCTAGGCACTCTCCAGGCACTTCCCCTGACTTTGGCTGGAACCCAGACCCAGACTGACCCAAGCCTAAGCCCCTTCCCATTCTCATTCTAGCCTGGCCTCCACCCAGATCCCTCCCTCCGGAACCCCCCAACTCCGTCCCTAGCCCCATCCCATTTTCTTCCTGACTTTAAGAACTTGCCTCCCGGTTGTGCTCCCTCCATAGCCTCGCCCCTCTGCCTATCACTCCGCCTCTTGAACCTCCCCTGCAGCTTCGCCCCTCCCCCTCTGGCCCCGCCTCCGTCCCTTAAGGCTCCTCCTCCCCTCCCCCACACCCAGCTTTAGCCGCGCCGGGACACTAACCCAGCCTCACCTCAGAGAACAGCGCGGCCAGGTGCTCCAGAGGTGCCGCGGGCAGGTCCCCGCAGACCACTGCGCCGCGGAAGCTGTCGGGCCCTGGAGGCTTGGTCCCGGTGCGCAAGAAAAAAAGGCCCTTAGCGCCAGCCGGGCCCGACTCAGGTCTCACCTCCAGCCCGGGTCGTACCGCCAGGCCCCCGGGCCCGGGCCGCACCACCAGCAGCGGCCGCGGCCCCTCGGCAGCATCGCGGTCCAGGAAGGCCTGGAGCAGCTGCTCCGCCTCGGCAGTCCCCGCACAACGCTCCCAGGCGCCCGCAGCCGGCCGCAGGCTCAGGGCCACGTAGGTCCCCAGGAGTCGCAGTCGTCGGTCGGCGCCGGGTTTCCCGTCAGCGTTCTCCTCAGCGAGCGCGGCCCGCTGCTCCGCGCCCCGCATCGCGCGCGGCCTCCAGCTGCATCGGTTTCCCTAGCGACGGGGACGCGGCCAGGATTCCCTCCTCTGCTCCCTTCCTATTGGGCACTGGCCCCTGGTCCCGCCCCTTCCAGGCTAATAAGGTAGGAGGGGTACAGCGGGAAGGGGCGGGGTCGCGTCGCTGTTGCTAGGACACCAGCCGAGACTCGTACTTAGTGTGTGCCTGGTGTATTGGGAGCGCTGAAGTGTGACCGTGGAGCGCAGTGGCTTACTGATGGGCTGCGTGGAGAGGAGATCAAGCATATAAATGCTGTTAAGGATCGTTCTGGCCAAGGTCAAATTAGAGTCTTGAGAGGTCTCCGGACACTGAAAATAGTATGGTCCTCTCACCTCTATCCTAAATGCGCAATCCAAACTTAAACACAATGCCAAATCATAAAACAGATTTAAGGACATTCAGTGAGTGTTTTATTTCTTTTCCATGATGGCAAATTAAACGCTTCAGAACAGTGCTGTCCAATAGAACTTTCTGCGATGATGGAAATGTTTTCCATCTGTTCTAGCCACGCATAGCCTATAAAGGAGGTGAAATGTGCTCGTCTCACTGAGGAACTGAATTTTTAATTTTACTTAATTTTCACTTAAACAGTCACATGTAACTGTAGTTATACTGAACTGCTCAGCTTCAAAATTTTAGTATCAATTTTTTAAAAGTTTTTTCCCGTGCAATCCCAGTTTTTAATTTTCTCTCCAAAAAGATACCTTATCTGCATTTTAGAAGGTGACTGGTGGGAGGCATTGATATGGGATTATTGACAACGACTGACATTTTAAAATATTGCATAATTATGACAAAAATATCCCCAAAATATATTAATTATCTATCACTGTATAACAAATTACCTCCAAACTTATCAGCTTAAAATAGAATAAACATGTTTTTTTAAGGCATGTGCTTAATCTGCCAAAACTGTAACCAAACTGTGAGAGGCTTGTTTTTGTTTCTGTTGTTTTTGAGACAGGGTCTTACACTATTGTCCAGGCTGGAGTGCAGTGGCCGGATCATAGTTCACTGCAGCCTCAAATCCCTGGGCTCAAGTGATCCTCTGGTCTCAGCTTCCCTAGGAGCTGGGAATACAGGTGCCACCACATCCAGCTAATTTAAAAAATTTTTTTGTAGAGATGAGGTCTCGCTATGTTGTCCAAACTGGTCTTGAAGTCCTGGCCTCAATTCATCCTTCTGCCTCAGCCTCCCAAAGTGCTGGGATTACATGGATGAGCCACCATGCTAGAGTTTTTGACTTTCATGGATATGACCACTAATCAGTTCTTACTAAATGTAGCAAAGGACTTGTAAATATGCAGGATGCTCAGAGCCTCCCCATCCTGCCCTATACCTGGATATTGGCTTCAAAAAGGGATAATATAAAGTGCCTTGCCTGACCTCAGAAATTAGCATTTGCTACCCGCTTAGTTATTCTCCATGGTCAAGATAAACAGCTTGGCCCTTTGCATGCATGTAAAGTAACAATACATGGGTGCTGAAAAAATGGACAAACAACTTGGGCAGCATGAGGTCAGCAGGACTGAATGAGCTCCCCTCTGCCCTACCATCCTCACTTTAGTCACCTCCCAGGGACTGCTGAGTTTCTGGGTAAAAGGAATGTTTATAATGGGGTTCAAAGGAATATTAACAGAATAAGCACTTGTCAATGGCAGCTTGGCTAACAAGAGCCCCTCATGAAAACACCAGTGGTTGGGAGGTAAAATGATTGATTTCATAATAACTGGAGCACAGGAGTTGGTGTCATAAAAAAATGTTCATGTTAGAAATGAATCTTTATGTTTGTAAAGGGTGTTTTATCATTGCTGGATTAAACAATAATCAACCAACTATGAGGAAAGGGAAAAAGTGGGAAGCTAAAACAATTTTTAGGATGAATTTGGTAATTGCCATTTCAAGGAAAAGCATCAGGGAAAAATAGTAGTAATGTCAGGGGCTTCTTACACATATCGTTTTTTGTTTGTCTTTGCACATAGGAAGGCATCGTTATTGTTTTAGTGCTTAGGGACTTCAAATATGTTAACTATGCTCGTGTTTCATATACAGAGTGACTTCAGAACCATTAACTTTCAGTAAACCCTTGAAATAAAATTTCTGCCACCCCACTGCAGCTCTATTATGCCCTTTAATCTCCTATGTCCCCTTGCCCCAACATACATAAAAATAGAAACAAAGGAGCCTGAGAAGATGACTTAAAGATTTCTGTCTAAGGTGAAGGCTCCTGAACACTAGCAATCCCAGTTTTTAATTTTCTCTCCAAAAATATACCTTATCTACATTTCAGAAGGTAATTGGTGGGAGGCATTGATTTGGGATTATTGAAAACGACTGACATTTTAAAATAGTGTATAATTATGACAAAAATATCCCCAAAATATATTAGTTATCTATCACTGTATAACAAATCACCCCCAAACTTATCAGCTTAAAATAGCAATAAATATTTATCTCACACAGTTTGTGGGGGTCAAGAATTTAGGAGCAGCTTAGCTCATAGTTATTGCTAAAGGTTTCTCATGATGTTGCAGGCAAGATGTCATCAGGGGCTACATCATCTGAAGGTTTGACTGGGGCTGGAGGAGACACTTCCAAGATGGCTTTCTCACTTGGCTAGTGGGTTGGTGCTGGCTCTTGGCAGTAGACTTCAGCTTCTTAGCATGTGGAGCCCCCACTGAGCATTTGAGTGTCTTTATAATGCTGTGACTGGCTTCTCCCGGAAGAAGTGATTTAAGAGAGAGCAAAGCAGGAGCCTACAGTGTCTCTTATGACTAGCCTTGGAAATCATACACCGTCATTTCTGCAATTATCTTATTAATTACAGAAGTCTTCCCTATTCAATATGAGAGGGAATTACATGAGGATGTGAATACCAGGAGAGAAGAATCACTGGGTACCATCTTGGAGGCAGGCTACCACAAAAAGTAAGGGAAGCAATAAATTTGCGTAAGATGTTCAGCTAAAATAATTTCCATTTTTTAAATTGGAAACTGGAACTCAGTCCCATGAGTATAATATTTGTAGTAATCATGTTTTTTGTTTTAAATGACTATGCAGAATTCCTGTTCAAGACTTTTGGTCATGATCTCTTTAAATTCCGGATAGTCGCTCGTGATGAGAAATTTGTTCCCACAAGCAAGTAATATAAAAGTTAAAGCCTTTCACAACCATTCATAAATTAGCAGTTGACATTATATTTACAGAATCGAACAGCTCTTTCTTTTCTTCCTTGACAAATGTTACATTGAAATTCTTTTATGCTGCTAATAGATACTGAATCTAACCTAACCTTTTCATATCAAATATTTCAAAATAATGATGAAGTTCTAATTCAAATAATGTGCATAAATTATTAGAATAACCTCCTTGCAGCTACCTTGGATACTATTAATGTGAACATCAGACACAAATAGGGATATCTATGGGATCCGTGACTAGGACAGTGTATGCTGCCTATGACTAAATCCAGGAGACATGCATAAGAATATCAATGGTTGAATTGTAGCAACTGCAAAATAATGGGAAGCAAACCAAGTGTCCATCAATAGTAGCATGGATGAGTAAATTGTGTTATATACTACTCATGACGTATAATACTCCACAGCAGTAAAAATGAATAGATGATAGTCATATGCATCAATATGGATAAATCCTAAAAGCATAATGTTGAATAAAAATAGGAAAGTTACAGATTAATTTAGTGTTACATTTGTTAGAAGTTTGAAACTAGACAATATGTTGTAAGAGTAACACACATATGTAGTAATCTAATGAAAAGTAAAGGAATGATTGTCACAAAATTCAGATTTTGCTCACTCCTTGGGGGACTAAAGAGGCATGGGATGAGTAAAGGAAACACAGGGCCCTTTTAAGTTCTTGATAATGTTTTATTTCTTCATTTGGTTTGTGAGTTTTCATTTTGTCATTCCTCTTAAACTGTACATATATATTGTACTTATGAAGTGGCTATGTTGTCTGGGGTATATGCCCTGGGGTTTGTCATTATACGCCAGGAAAATTTAGGAGATGGACACACAGGAGGTGTTAGGAGCAGAGGTTTAGTAGGCAGAAGAGAAGAGAAAGCAAAACAGCTCTCTCTGTAGAGAGCAGGGGTCTCCAAGCAGAAAGGACCAGCTGGTGGCCAATGCCCCAGATTTTATAGTCAGGTTTGAGGAGGTGGTGTCTGATTTACATAGGGCTCACAGATTGGTTGGATCAGGTGCGATGTTTACATAGTGCAAGCAGAAGGCTGGTTGCCCTACCCTAATCTTGCTATGCAAATGGACTTTTTAGTTGATTGGTGCCATCTTGTCTGTTCCTTACTGTACACGTGGCTGGCAGAGAAGGGAAGATGGAGCCGTCATCTTGAACATGTCTAGTCCCTATTTCCTGCCGGCATTCACCCTTGCAAGCTTCTGGCTTGCTTGTGTATGTCTGTAGCTCGACTTTACAGGCTGCTGTTTGTTAGAAAATGACTTGGGGCCGCTTTTCATTAAAAAGAAAAGCCTTACTGAGGACTCCTATACCCTTACTATCTGCCTAAGTAATTTCTTCATAACTCTTGCGTCATGTGAATATATAATATAACTCAGAATAAAATAAAATAAACGAATGTGCCGTTTCATGTACTCTGAATGCTGTGGGGAAATTCATTCCAGTTACTGAGAATCAATGTATAGATATTCATTTAAATGCTAATAACCCATTAGTTTTACAAAATTACTTATCAGATGTCCTAAAAATTGATTAAGTCTATTACTGGTGACTTCTTTTTCATAAAATCCAATTGGCACTGTTCAGTCTTTATGTTACTTATTGGTTCTGTTAAACTCTGTTGATTCCTGATTCAATGTGTGGAAGCAACCTCCACCTCCCGGACTCAAGCGATTCTCTTCTTGTGCCTCAGCCTCCCGAGTAGCTGGGATTATAGGCACACACCATCATGCCTGGCTTATTTTTGTATTTTTTTGTAGGGATGGGTTTTCACCATTTTGGCCAGCCTGGTCTTGAACTCCTTGCTCAAATGATCCAACTGCCTCAGTCTCTCAAAGTGCTGGGATTACAGGCATGAGCCATTGTGCCCAGCCAGGAATTTACTGTTGAAGAGAAGTCTGAAGCCAGCTTCATTTTATTCTTTTGTAGGTAACGTGTCGAAACTACATCATCATACAGGGGATTTTTAATGTCTCCCTTTTAATTTTTATGATTCAGAAAAATGTTTTAGGATAAAACTAAAGCCCCGTGTAATTGATCTTTGCCTGAAATTATAAAAGTCCATTCAGTTCTCATAACGAACTGTTTCTTCACAGCAGGAAAGATTGTTCTATGGAATCTTGGATTATGAATTATATTCCATATGCACTCTTGTCTGATTTTCTGGAGAGGTAAACTGATAAAGTGTGCTAACAATTCCAAGTAGGGGATACAATTTGAGATATTAATTGAGGTTTTTCGTTCCTATGTTCTGTTGCTGTCCTGCAGCTCTTCACCGAGTGAGTTAACAACATTTAATGCCTCAGGGAGTGCGAATACAGCCTAAAACAGCT